GTCCACACACTTGTGTGAAAGGATCAGGTGGCATGCGAGACCACTGTCCATCCACACGCTTGTGTGAAAGGGTCACGTGGCATGGCGAGACCACTGTCCAGTCCACATGCTTGTGTGAAAGGGTCACGTGGCATGGTGAGACCACTGTCCAGTCCACACACTTGTGTGAATGGGTCAGGTGGCATGTGAGACCACTGTCCAGTCCACACACTTGTGTGAAAGGGTCACGTGGCATGGTGAGACCACTGTCCAGTCCACACACTTGTATGAAAGGGTCACGTGGCATGCGAGACCACTGTCCAGTCCACACACTTGTGTGAAAGGGTCAGGTGGCATGCGAGACCACGGTCCAGTCCACACACTTGTGTGAAAGGGTCAGGTGGCATGCGAGACCATTGTCCAGTCCACACACTTGTATGAAAGGGTCACGTGGCATGCGAGACCACTGTCCAGTCCACACACTTGTGTGAAAGGGTCAGGTGGCAGGCGAGACCACGGTCCAGTCCACACACTTGTGTGAAAGGGTCAGGTGGCAGGCGAGACCACGGTCCAGTCCACTCTGTGTCACAGTACCTGCTTCTCAGCATTGCTGCCTCGTTGCTTTTAGTTAAGAGACTTCATTATTAAGCATTCTTTTCCAAATGATGGTTCCTTTCTTCCATCTATTCCCAACACCCTCTGTCTTCCCTATTAGAAGATGATATTGAATGTTGCTGCCCTTAAAATCCCATTAAGAGACCATGTCCTAGATTTTTCTTTTCTGCGTGTGTTTGGGTCTCAAGTGACTTGCAAATACTTAAGTATGTCCAACAACAAGATCACAATCATAAATACAGTGTGGTATCCTGTAAAGGATCCTGGAACAAATGAACAACATTAATGAAATCATTGGTGGAATATGAAAAAAATACTGTAACTTCGGTAGTCATTAATTGCTTGGTTTGACCACTATTCTATGACTGTGTAAGCATTTGGGGAAGCTGGATCAATGCCACAAGGATGAGAATTTGTTTTGGTTTGGTTTTTAGTTTTTCCAGACTGGGTTTCTCTGTGTAGCCCTGCCTGTCCTGGAACTCACTCTGTAGCCCAGGCTGACCTCAAACTCACAGAGATCCGCCTGCCTCTGCCGCCCAAGTGCTGGGATTAAAGGCGTGTGCCACCATCACCTGGCCAAGACTATGAGCATTTTACAAATAACAAGGAAACATAGACACCAACTTATATATGAATGTCCTTTTCAAAACATATTTTTCCAGCATGAGGAAAATTGAAGACCATCAAAGTATGCATTTTGGTGGTTCCAGAAACTGTAATGTAAAGAGTAACCCTTATCTGTGTGTATCTCCTTCCCCTTCGGTTTCTGTTCTGTGTGTTCCATCAATCCTCACAGCTCCAGCTGTCCACTCTCTGCTGATGTAAGACATCCTTTACCCCGTCTCTCTCTGGATATTTAGCACATAGAGGTATAACTTGACCATCCTCCCTCCATGATAGCCTGATCCCATGCTGGCCAGTGCCATCACCATGCAGTCACCCACACCTGAGACTTCAGAGTCAACTTTGACTCCTTCCTCCTCTTTCTCTTATTCTAAACGTTGTCAGTACTTAGGAGAAGTCCTTCATATGTGTACATTTGGCCCTTTCAAGACCCCTTTGTCATTGCCCTAGAAAGAGCTTCAAATATCTTGTCAGGAATCCCTGCCAGATTCTCTCCATCTTCTCTCCTGCCCTGAGAAAGAAGGTGCAGGAGCCAGGTATACTGAGGTACACCTGCACTGGATGAAGTTTGGAGGCTCCACAAGTGGAGTCCGCCTCACATAGAGAAACCAGCCTCTCAAAGAACAAAATAAAACAAAAGCAGATTAGGAGATGCCCTGCTTTGGTAAGATGCTGCTGTGTGTGCATAAGGACTTGAAGTTGAGTCGCCAGCATCCATGTAAAGAGTTGGTAGCAGCCATGCATGCCTGTGGTCCCTGTGCTGGGGAGGCAGAGACTGGAGAATCTCTGAGGCTTCCTGGCCAGCCAGCTCAACCAAGTTGGTAAGCCCAAGGCCAATGAGAGACCCTGTCTAAAAACATTAGTGGAGAGCAATCAATCTCTGGCCTCCACATGCACATTCACACACATGCTTGCAGACGCGCGCGCGCACACGCGTGCGCGCACACACACACACACACACACACACACACATACATACATGCATACATACACAAGCATGTGTGCACAAAGGTCAGTGACTATTTTGCTGCTGCCCTAAAGAAATAATATACAATTATACCAAAGAGCACATATACCCTAGCTAAATTAGATGGTCAGTTTGAATCTACCTCCTTCCTTTCTGTCCCCAACTCCCAAGAATCTGGAAAGAGCACAGTTCTTTGTCCTTAGAAAGTCTTAACCTTGAATCCCAGCTTCATGATCCTGGGCATGTTAGTGTTTAGCTCTGAGCCCATTCCTTTTTCTATAAAACGGGTCTATACTTAATGCTCAGAACAGCTGTCAAGGCGGGGGGAAATGATGAGTTAAAACTGGGCTCCTCTTACTGTTTGTTATTGATGCTTAAAGTGAGGAATGGTCTCTTGATCACTACTGTCCTGTGTGTCAATGAAGTGGAGGTTGGTTGTCTCTCTTGATCCCTCAGACTATGGCCCGCTTTCCACAAGGGGCTTTTCCCCAAGAAAGCTACTGCAGCATGACAACACTCTCCCTAGACACTGCCAGCTGCATGGGGCTTGTGCTCCGCTTCCTCCCACAGATCAGCCCTGGACCACTGGAGATGAAGGGAGCCCGGCTTCAGGATCCAAATTCTGTTTCCATAATGCAGTTCCCTCACCATGTGGTCTGTGAATGGGGCTGTACTTTGAAGCTGAACTCTTCCATTCCTACTCTACTTTCCTATAGTTCCGACCTAGAATGTAGCTATTTGGTCCTCCATGAGCCAAGTCTTTGTCCAGCTGATTCATTACCCTTTTCTTCAGTAGTGTGGTACAGGACCTGGTATATAGTATGTGCTTGATCAACATAAGATGGATAGAGAGCTAAATATGTTCACCGCTAGAGTTTGGCGACTAACCTATCCTTAACTGGAAGACTGAATAAGGAAATTTCCCAGCAAGTTATATATTAGGCCAGGGCTTCTAAACCTTGGCTGTGCTAGTAATAGGAGAATGTTTGCTTAACGGTGACTTCTGTTCTCTCTCCATGGATGTGTTCTTTCATTTCCTAAAACTGCCCGAGTGATCTGATGGGTAGCCAGAGTTGGGCTTTGCCATTCTAAAAGGCTTGTCCCATGCTTCAGTCTTAACATTTTCTGTTTCCAGGCTGTAGTCTAATTACCAGTTGGTTTATATCCTTTAGCCTTGCTGGGCTCCATGCTTCTTGGACTCAGATATGGAGACTTGCTGGTGCTTGGCATCTAATGATGACCATACGTGTTAGTTGAGTAAAGGTGGTTTCATTTCAAATACAAGACAGAGCTGGAGGGAGAGCGCAGCCGTTAAAAGCTAAGGCTCACAACCAAACCACAAGATTATTGCATAGTACCATGTAAGACAGAGAGAAAATACTAGCCATTGTCAGTTCGACTTTGGATTTGGTTTGTATATCTAGTATTTCCTTTTGTGTTATTTTTTTGAGTCAGGGTCTCACTGTAGAGCCCACGTTGAAATCAAACTCAAGATTCCCCTTCCTTAACCTCTCAAGTACTGGGATTGCAGGTATATACTGCCCCCTACCATGAGCGTGCGTGCGTGCGTGCGTGCGTGCGTGCGTGCGTGCGTGCGTGCGTGTGTGTTGTTTCTAACAGTCTCTACTTGGCTCCCTTTCTTGGGAGCTGCTTGCCCGCAATTATGTTTCTTATTCACTCACTGCCATCTGTCTAGATCCTAGAAATTGACAACAGCTAATGAAATTTATTGGAGAGTCTCAGTTTACAGTTGTATACTATTGTTACCATCTGTGCCCCCAAAACTAAAGTTAATTTCAATATGCCCTTGAGAGAATATATCATTAATGTGACATTCAGTAGGACTGTCTGCCTGCCCAGAGGTGATTCTAGAGAAACACACAGGTTGCCACTCTAATATTTCTTAACTCCAAAATTAGTTATTTTAGGGATACAGTTGAATTAGTTACTTTTCTGTTGTTGTAACAATAAGGCAACTTATTTTTTAAAAAAAGCATCTAATTGGGCCTGTGGTTTTAGAGGGTTGGGGTCCATGATGGCCGAGCAAGGTGTGGCAGGGACAGCTGAGAGCTTATGTCTCGATCCACAAGCAGAGGGTAGACAGGCACACTGGGAGTGACATGATTCTTTCAAAACCTCCAAAATCCACCCCTGGTGACAATACTTGCTTTAACAAGAGTGCACCCCCTAATTCTTATCAAACAGTTCTACCAAAAGGTGACCAATATCCAAGCATACGAGCCTATTGGGGCCGTTTTTATTCAAATCAGCACATTATTGTTACAGCTGCTAAGATGTTAAAGATATCAGTTCTTGTTACGCGTCATAGCAGCCGGACCAGCATAGAAGCTGGGTGTGAGATGCATGTAAGATCACACAACTTGTTAGAGACAGAACTAGCACAGGGAACCAGAAGCAAGGCCAGGCAGAGTGGCACACTCCTGTAATCCCGGCATCTGTCAAGGCTAAAGCAGAAAGATTTTAAGTTCAAGGCCACAGGGGGCTTCATATCAAAAACTTATCTCCAAAAACCAAGAGAACAAAGACAAAACAACAAAAATCAGATGTGTCCTAGAACACTACATAATATATAGCATTTCAGATAACATTCGAAATGACAAATGATATTTATTGATAGTATTTGTGTTACAAAGAAACGTATCAGAGGCAAGGGTAGTGTTAGAAGTTTCTCAGAGGGTGGGGCAGAGGGCAGAGGGGAGAGGCCGAGGGCAGAGGAAGGAATTCTGAAGATTTAACATAGGAACAGTGTGTCTTCGGGCCCATCGGTCACTTGTGTGTCTGCCTTTGTTTTCAGGATTTTCCCCAGAGAATACCTCCTTCAACAGATCCACCTGTATTCTCTCGCTGACCTGCAGCAGGTGAGTGATCAGAGGGGCCTTTGCGTTTCTGTTTTCTGTCCGAAGTCACTTTGTGGATTATGGTTTTGGTATAGAATGAATCTGTCATTGTAGTAGTTTCACATTCAATCAATTTGTATTCTGAATGGGAGGGAGATCTAGTATAAAAAGATACTATGACAAATCCCAGGGGATGGAGAGTCACTGGAGCTCTGACCCATTGCGGGTGGGAAGTCCAGTGGAATAGCAATCTGGAAAGCAGTTTAGCGGCTCTCAAAAAGTTAGAGTTACCATATACTCCAGAGATTCCACTCCCAAGTATATGCCCGAGAGAAAGAAAAACGTATGTCCTTATGAAAACTTGTCCGTGAGTGCTGGGTAGGGGGATATGCACCTGCAGCTCCAGCTACTTAGGAGACTGAGGCAGCCCAGGCGCCACAGCTACCATAGCAAGACCCTGTCCCCAAAACAAATGAAACAAAGCCTCTGTAAGGATGCCGGTGCAACGTGATTGACGATAGAAAAAAAAAAAGTTGAGGAACAACCCAGATGTTCATCGACTGAGCGGTCTTGTTTATCATTATTGTATAACATTGTCTAACCATAAAAAGAGTGAAATAGTGATACACACTACAACATGGATGAGCCTTATCATGCTAAGAATCCAGAGAGGAAAAAACACGCATCTTTGTTTAAGTGGCATGCCCACAATGAGGAAGTTCACAGCGACAGAAAATAGATCAGTGGTTCCAGGCTCTGGAAAGAATGGAGGTGAGGAGAGACTGCCAATGGATATGGGGTCTCTTCCAGGACTGAACTAGATAGTGATGATGCCTTGTGAATATACTAGAGATACATTGATTGTTTTCTTTAAAATAAGTTTATGTGATATGAATATTTCAACTAAAAATTATGTGAGGAAGGCAGTGAGTGGATGCATAAGGCCGTCAGATGTGCTGAAATCTAACAGCTGGATAACTTTCAGAGTTTAATAAAGCACAGCAGAACGCAGAAGAGAGTCAAAACCAGCTTTTACGATTTTGTCACTGCGTGGACTTTTAATGATTGACCAGGTTAGCAGCCAGGGAGAAACTACGGCTCTGTGTGCTCAGCCTTAAGTTCTGAGTATGCTTCGCCTTGGTTAATCATTTAAATCAACAACACACTCCTAAGAAGCTGCTAGACACCAAAGAAAGCATTACTTTACTTTCTAAATAAATACTGATTCTTTGAAGAACCAATCAAAAAATAATTGTGGCAACCTTCAAGAAATCTTGAACTGCTGGGAATCTGCCCTTTCTTCCTCTGGTTGGTTTACCCAAAAGAAATGAGCTCTGCTTAAAAACTTCCATCACTTTTCAGACTTTCAATTACTTTTCAAGGTTTCTGGTATGCCTTTTTAAAATTTAAAATATTAAGACTTTTTTTGTGGAGGTAAGACAGTTATTTTAAATTACAAAAACAACAACAAAAAACAATGTAGCATTTAGTTGGAGCGGCCTGAGAGAAGTCGAGGATGAGTCTTTAGTCTTTGTCAAGTTTAGACCTGCTTGCTCCTCCAGTCCTGCCCACCTTCCCCATAGGCGAGCACCCAGTGGAATCGGCTGGTCACGGCACGGAGGGGTGGAATCAAACAGAGCACTGCCCTTTAAGGAGGCCCTTCAAAACGAGTTTTAGTGTCAGAGGAAGAGAGAATTGCAGTATTTCCGTATTCATTTTAGGGTGCCAATGTCTGTATCCATTTGGATAAAAGAGCAGCCTGCTTCTTAAAGCTTCCCTGTACCCTGCTGTCTCCCCACACGGCCCTTTCTTTCTCCTTCTTGTCATAATCAAACCGTACATGCCAAGCAGCTTACTTAAATCGGTGACAGTGGTGTTCTTGGTGGGCCAGGCCATTAGCCCCCGGAGCCCCGTAAGTAGCTTAATCAGTTTTGAGCTGGGCCGTGGAATGGTAGAAGCATTGGCCAGCTTATCACACTCCCCGTGGGCGGAGGCTGGAGCTCAGTACATCCATTTATGTAGCAGCTCACGCTAACCTGGTTCTTTGTGCCTGGCTTTAAGAGCCACAAACTTATCATATTTAGAGGAAGTTTAATTCAATTACTGCTTCTGTCTGAGGTGGACTAAATTGCATTTGGCTTTTGATCTGTCTGTATCTTGGCTATCAGCCCTGAAGAGCACCCCTGCTCATCTCCCTTTGGTTTCTGGGTAAATAACAAGTATGTTTTCTATTTGTTATTTTGAACTGCTTTGCCACATAGGAAAGGGAAGGGACCTGGAGGAGGAAAAACAATAGTAGTGTTTTTTGTGAAGAGTGTATCAGGGTAGCGGGAACCCTTCCTCGCTGACCAGCCATACCTCCATGGATCTGAGGCACCCTGGCCTCTCCCTTCCAGTCTTTGTCCCTTCAGGACTGCCGGAGTCAGTGATTTTCTCCCATTCGGTTCCATTCCTTACTTGTAAGGGCATCTATGAAAGCAAACTTAACTGTGGAAAAAGGAGTTTTTAGGTATATGTTTTATAGTGAAAGGAAGAGAAATTAATAAATTATTGAGAAGTATAGCTTCTGAACAATAACAGAGTCTTTTTTTTTTTAAAACAAATTTCTCTTGTGAGTCTGATTTTTTAAAAGAACTTTTCAAGAAAGGTTCTGATTTAATAGGCGTACTAGCTGGCTCAGTGGCTCAGAGGATAAGGCACTTTCTGCCACCCTGCTGAGCTGAGTTTGATCCCTGGGACCCCCATAGTGGAAGGAGAGGCCTGAGTGTTGACAGTTGTCAGTCGTTGTCTGACCTTGCACACGCACGTGTGTGCACACACTCACACATGCAAGTAAGTAGACAATAGATATAGTAAAGAGGAAGTTGAAGTTTATGCATCATTGTAAGGTAGTATAGCACATAAAGTACTAATATTATTTAAAGATGCTAAAAACACTCTGGTACCAAAAATCACACCCCTGATGTTTCATTTATATAACACCCCTCAAGATTTCAGCAGATGTGCTCGATCAACGATGGCTGGAGACTTTCAGCGACCTGATAGATCTTTTGTTGCAGTCAAGAAATTACTATTTTAATTTTCTGCCTCCTTGGAATGCATTCATGTAGATACGTGGGAATAAATTGCAAGTACTAACCATTGCTCTCCTGTTATGCTAAGAGCTAATCACCTGTAGTTTTTGGCCAAGAGTGTGCTGGTGCCTATTTCTCCAGTGGCTAGACTGCTGTCTGGATATCCCATGCATGGAACATAGCCAGTCAGTAGCACACTGTGTGACTAGTCAGTTGGCAGCATTTTCAGGAACGTATAAAACAGAGCTGAGGATCGTTCTGACCTAATTGCAGGGCCAAGGAAGTGACATTTTAGGGAAGGCAAAGGTTCTCCAGTTCCTGGGAGATCTAGGGCATACAAGCTTGATGCACTCATTTCTTAAGGCTGGATTCCAGATGAATTCTGTTCAGCAAAAAGAGTATTTCGAAAATGGTTAGGCTGAGGTGGTGGTGGCATACACCTTTAATTCCAGCCTTCAGGAAGCAGAGGCAGGTGAATCTCTGAGTTCAAGTCCAGCCTGGTCTACAGCCAGGGTTATGTAATGAGATCCTGGCTCAAAGAAAGAAAGAAAAGCTATTAGTTTGTTGTTTTTTTTTTAAAGACATTTTCTATTCCTGTGTATCTATGTATACTTGTGTGTGTGTCTGTGTGTCTGTGTGTCCACAGAAGCCAGAAAAAAGTGTTATATCCCCTGAAGCTGAAGTCATAGGCAGTCATGAGCCATCCACCAACAGTGCTGGAAACCAAACTTAGGTCTCTGTATGAGCAGCCAGAGTTCTTAGCTGCTGAGCATCTTTCCGGACACTACTATTAAGTTTTCTGTGGGAGACCTTATTTTGTTTGTGGTATTTCTTGTTGTTTGTTTCTTATAAAAAAAAATAATTACAGAGACTTCCCTTTAGGAAGGGCAAATGCACACTGTCTTTCAGACTCTGAAAGCAGTGTCAGAAAGGCCAAGCAGGCAACTGCTAAGCTTTTGTGAACACATGGACATGGAAAAGTAGAATTTTTTTTTCTGAGACAGGGTTTCTCTGTGAAGCCCTGGCTGTCCTGGAACTCACTCTGTAGACCAGGCTGGCCTCAAACTCAGAGATCTACCTGTCTCTGCCTCCCAAGTGCTGGAATTAAAGGCATATTCTACCAACACCTGGCAAAAGTGGAATTTTTTAATAGGTAAAATTCTTTCTAAGAGTTTTTCTGGCCAGGTGGTGGTGGCATACAGAAAGACATCCCACAGCACTCCAGAGTGACCTAGAATGGTTGGAACAATGAGCATTCAGCTGAGCAACTGACATCTCACAGAACATGTGCATACTCAGTGAATCTGTGGTTGGATAGACACATGGAGGAAGGAAGGTGTGTGTGTGTGTGTGTGTGTGTGTGTGTGTGTGTGTGTGTGTGTGTGTGTGTCTGTCCTATCCTGAACTCACTAATTTGCCCCCTAAAATAAAAGCAAATAAATTAGCATTATTAGTCGTGAAACAACAAATAAATTACCCCTGGGTTTTTTTATTTTATTTTGTTCGTGTGTGTATGCACACATACCCATGTACATGCATATATAAGCTAGGGGAGTATGTCAGATGTTGTCTTAGTTAGGGTTTTATTGCTATGGAGAGACACCATGACCAAAGCAACTCTAATAAAGAAAAGAAAAGAATTTAATTGGGGGCTGGATTACAGTTCAGAGGTTCAGTCCCTTGTCAGCATGGCAGGAAGCATGGCAGCACTCAGATAGACACGGTGCTGGAGAGGAGCTGAGAGTTCCACATCTGGATCTGCAGGCAGCAGGAAGTGTGGCAGCACTCAGATAGACATGGTGCTGGAGAGGAGCTGAGAGTTCCACATCCGGATCTGCAGGCAGCAGGAAGAGACTGAGACACGCTAGGCTTGGCTTGAGCTTCTGAGACTTCAAAGCCCACCCCTAGTGACACACTTCCTCCACCAATGGCCACGCCTCCTAATAG